AAGCGCCCGAGCAACATCGAAAACGATATAGTTGCGCTGAGGCCTTGTGTTGTACCCTGCAGACATTGCGCTGAATCACTACTCATATCATGTTTAGCCTTCAGGGCTCAGGGTGTTTCCCGTTTTAGAAGCGCAGCTAGCATGATACATTCCACAAGACCATGTTCTAATCAATGACGATATCTCGTATGTCATTTCATGCCGAGAACTGCCATTATGACGACCCACCTGGAGGTGCTTTACTTTTGCTTCCGCAATTTGCCGGCTTACATTTCAGAGTGTCCCAAGGATTGCTCGAATCTAGGTGCTAAAATAATTTGAACCACGAAGAATGACATGGAAAATGTTAGGTGATATGGATTTTAGTATAGGAACTGCAAGTAGTTGTCTAAGAAGTTAGGATAAGTAATTAACTGCAGTGCTGCATATTTAGCGATTTCAGGGAAGTGTATTAGCAAAGACTCAGGGCTTTACAAGGTCGACAAGTTGTGCACTCCTAGATTCCTTGTAAGACATGTGGTAGCAAGTATAGGGTACCTCAAATTTACTTCAAATTAACATGGGTAGCTGTTTAGGCCCCCATATTAGTTGTCAACCCCTTGAACCCAGATCCTATGCCTGTAAATCAACAAGCTATGGCCCAGTTACCATAATTGTCCCCTTTTGTATAGCCTCTAATATATTCCGTAATAAGGAACCCTTGTCCATTCTTTCTATGGGAACTAGTTGCTGAATGTATCGCGCTTGACCTAGCTGCTCCTCAAATGACACTTCTCCGTGCGGGTCTCCGGTTCATGAAGATTTTTAGGCCTTCAAGGAAGCAAGCCAGATCACAACTAGGTCCCTTGAGCACTACACTTGAGAAACCAAAAACCTGAAATTTTGGACTCTTTGACTCCAAGCCCTGAATGCCGAATGTGAAGCCCCTAACATTGAAACCCTAAACCCCAAACCTTATACCCTTAACCCTCAGCCCTAACCCCCAAACCCTTAATCCTAAACCCTAAGCCCTAAACCCCCAAACCTTAAATCCTAAACCCTAACCCCAAACCCTAAATCCTAAACCCCAACCCCCAAACCGAACCCCCCAGAATTTTTGAGGACTTGTTGAGGGAGATTGCGCCTCGAACGCTGCATGGACTGTGGGTAACTTCCCCCAGCTTGCCTCGGCGACTCTGCCATAAAGGGGTTTGGGGTTTAGGGTTCAGCGGTTTAGGGTGTAGGGGTTCAGTGGGGTTTTAGGGTTCTAGGTTTGAGAGCTTGGCTTTTACGGTTTCAGGGTTGGGTGTGGGATTTAGGGTTAGATTCAAGGTTGAGGATTCCCCCCACCCCAAGACCAAAGAAGAGTGAGCAGTAATAGAAATCGTTCTGCTTCAATGGTCCTACATGTTCGCATTCAGTTCAATGTAAGAGGGGGAGTTGTGGCTTTCGGTTCATCCTGACGTTATCTGACGTGGAACTTGAAAAGGAGCCCAATACCGACCATTGCCCTTTGAAGGGGGCCAATGTGGGGCTCCAGACTTGCCGGGGGGAAGCGGGAAGTGCAGTGTGGAGGGCCAGGAGGGCTTACAGTCTTATAGTAAGTATGCTTGACTTATAGCCCGCTGGAAGCCATGCAAGAACCCCAGTTAAACCCTAAGACCTAAACCCAAAACCCCTCAAACCTACTTCCTGTACTAAGTCCCCTTGACCCTCCAGGCAGGGTTTAGGGGCAATCAGCTTTCAGTGCCCAGCTTGTAGTCGTTATTTGGCACTACAGTGTAAAGGATTGGCATTCAGGGTCAGAGCGGCGGGTTTAGGGATTAAGGTTTTGGGGTTTTGGGATTTAGGGTTTAAGGGTTTTGGATTTAGGGGGTCTCTGGGTTTAGGGTTTAGGGTTTAGCGGTTTTGGGATTAAGGTTTTGGGGTTTGGGGATCTACCGGTTTTTGATTTTGGGTTTAGGGGTTTTGGATTTAGGGTTTAGGCATGTTTAGGCTTCAGGCGCTTTGGATTTAGGGTTTAGGGTTTGGGGGTTTGGATATTTAGGGGTTTTGGATTTCAGATTTAGGGGTTTTGGGTTTAGGGGTTTTGGATTTAGGGTTTAGGGCTGCGGGGGTTTGGATTCAAGGTTTAGGGTTTGGGGGTTTTGGATTTAGGGTTTAGGGATTTGGGGTTTACGGGTTTTGGATTTAGGCTTTAGGGGTTTTGCGCTTAGGGGTTTTGGATTTATGGTTTAGGGTTTCGGGGGTTTGGATTTAGGGTTTAGGGTTTGCGGGTTTTGTAGTTAGGGTTTAGGGGTTTAGGGGTCTAGGGGTCTAGGGGTTTTGGATTTAGGATTTAGGGTTTAGGGGTTTTGGATTTATGGTTTAGGGGTTTGGGGGTTTTGGGTTTGGGGTTTTTTATCGGACCTTTTCTCCGCAGCCCGAGGGTCCACGAAGACGCTTTGCAGCACAGTCCCTTCACAAGCCGGCCCCATTCACCAGACACTTGCTCCACCCCTTCAGGCATCAAGCAGAAACTTCTGAGGCAGACCCCAGCGGAATCAAGTGCAACAGTGCACAAACTTACATCAGCAGGCCATTCACGCAACCCTTAAGGCTGAAGACAAGCAGAAGAGAGGGTTTAGGGTTTAGGGGCTTGGGTTTAGGTGTAAGGGTTTACCGGATCTGGATTTAGGGTTTAGGGGTTTGGGATTTGGGGTTTCGGGGGATTTTAGGATTTATGGTTTAGGGGGTCTGGGTTGAGGGAGTGCACTCGATGTTGAGAGCATCCATGCCCCAACCATGATAACGATCATGTTCGAGTGCACTCCATGAATAAAGCATCCATGCCCAAACCATAATAACGATCGTGTTCGAGCGCACTCGATGATAAGAGCATCCATGCGCAAGCCATAATAATGTTCGTGTTCGAGTGCACTTGATGTTGAGAGCATCCATGTCCAAACCATAATAACGTTCGTGTTCCAAGAGCATACGGTTACCAGAGCATCCATGCCCAAACCATAATAACGTTCGTGTTCGCGTGCACTCGATGATGAGAGCATCCATGCCCAAGCGATACTTCCGTTCGTGTTCGAATGCACTCGATGATGAGAGCATCCGAATAATCATAACCATGATACTAACAGTGGAATACCGTGAGAGTGCTAATGCTGATAATAACTAGAATACAAGGCTGGGGAAGGGGGTTGACGAAGGGGGCGGTGTTACCCGAACTTTGTGGAACCATCGCAAAGTGGATATCTTATGTGCTGCCCCTCTCTGAGTTCCCCCGAACAGCAGCCCTCGCTCCCCGGCGCTGCCATTGCTTGCGCTGGCAGCCCAGCTTCAAGCCTGACCTGTAAACCCTGAGACCCCGTGTTGGCTGTTGAAACACGATATGGACATGCAACACGGACCCCAACACAGCTGAGACGGCTGAAGGAACTGGCCGCAGAGCAGCGGGCATAAAAATACGTGTCAAAGCGATCTCCGAAAACATTTGCTAAGCGACCCTGTTTTTTGTTGGCTAAGCGATCCCTTTCCCTCATTTACTGCCTGATTGGCTGACAGTTCGCACACTTGAGCTTTTCAAACAGACATGATTCGACATGCCGCCATGGACATGGAGACAAATACATTCACAGCATCAGGCAGCTAGCACGAACACGCTTGGAATTTCTCCGTTTGTGGTGGTTGTTCAGCACAACTAGCCAACTTTTGCTTCTTTCGTTCTACTTGCGTTCGCGGACCCAGCGCCTGTGACACCGTTGGTAATGTATGGAATCATCCACAGTACGTCAGCCATAGTGATGGAAACCGTTGCCATCATAGCACCTGCGCACAATGCAAAAAGCAGTAGAAGACAAACCGTTATCGTCAGGTTGTGTTTGCACCAGCCCCTGCTGAGGATTAGTCTTGCTGGCACTGCCTGCCAGGCCGATTGCCTGGTGAAGCCAGGTTGAAGTTGAAGCTGCCCCCGACCCTGTCTGTCCCAGGCCAGATGACTCCAGTATGTATGTGCAGCTTCGACCCAACTTCCCAGACCAGAAGACAGGCTGCATCCTGTCCACATCATCCAGACTGAAGTTTGCCAGAGTGAAGTTTGTTGCAGCAAGTAGGGATGAGTTTGTGTTTGCTGACGAATTCCCAGGTGAGTGGGCCGAATGTCGCAGTGTCTGGAGGAGGAAAACTGGCTCAGAGCCTTCTGGCTCAGAGCCTTTTGGCTCCACACACTTTTTTGCACTGCTCTGACATGCCCGCGAAAGATAAGCCACCAAGACCAACCCAGCTGTTCGCCAAAAGCTTGCACCGCTTGCACGTCGCATCTCCAGCGCGACTGTCTATACTAATACCATGTCGACTTGGACCCCCGTGCCTTTTGGCAAGGCCCTGCGTAAACGGTTCAGTATCTGCTGTTGCTTCGAGCCAATTTCAGCGCAGTGGTGGGGAGGCAGCTTGGGTTTGTCCAGGCTCCCGCGCAACTCACTAGCTGATCACGTTAGATCAGGTTGGGTAAGCAGAGCAGCCAAAAATCCAGAACCCAGACTCCACGGAGCTACAGAAGGTCTGCATTCCCGGCTAAGACAATATAAAACTCCGAACAAGAGAGAGAGAGAGAGAGCGAGCGAGCGAGAGAGAGCGTGCGCCTGAAAATAATGATCCAAGAGCTGCTTGTGGCCTCTGCATTGCCAGTCAGGCGAAGTAAAGCGGCCTTGCACGCAGTCAAAGTGCGCAGTCAACATGTACAGCAGCTGAGAAGTTAGCTCATTCATGAGCCACGGTGATCAGAGCAAAACTACCCATTGAAACCTATGTTGCACTGTGGCATGGGAGCCAGACGGGCCAGCCAGCTTCACCTGGCAGCACTTTCGTAGATCCACATCTTCGCACGGATATCTCCAGCGGAGCATGCCCGGAAGCAAAACGCTTTTCCTTTCAGCGTCCCCAACGCTGTCCGATGTTGGCATCTGCGAACCATCAACGAGGCGCATGAAGACCGGTTCCTCGGATAAAAAAATGCCTCTGCTAGCACCACTCTACCTGTCTGCGCGGCAGATAACGGAACCCTTGCCGAAGGCTACTTCCACAGTTGCAGTTGACCCTGAGCAAGCTGTATGTGGCCTGGCGTCCAACACCCCTTTGGATGGAAGGTCGCTCAAGGTGAGGTTTGCGCGAGGCCTTTCCGCATAGTGCAGGGACTAAAGAGCCTGCAGTCTCGTTTAAGAAGGAAACCATCTCATGTTTTTTGCCCACCTGCCAGAAGCTGCAAACCGCAGCAGGTCCAGCCTCCAGCGCAAGCCGAAATACCGATGCTGGCTGCGGAGAGCAGGCTACGAATTGCGTGGAGCTGCACGCACCTTTTGACCCCAAGCTGGCCACTTCACACCGCTTAGCAGAGCTAAGCAGTACAAGCAGAGTCAAGCGGAGCTCAGAAGCATCCGGATGCACATCTTGGTAGGAACAATCTCCTGCGAGTACTGTCTGAGATTGCACCCTGGTCCCTCTTCTTTTTGTGGCAGCACATGGCAGTCCTGGCCTGCGATTCGCATATAAACAACACAAGTGCTCGAGCTACGCCACTTTCCACTTCCAGGGAGGCAGAGATCATCATGCCTTGTAGGACAACTGCCAAACGTCTCTTGGATACACCAAAGCTTCATCTTGCCAAGGCTCACACCAAGGATGGGGATTAGGTGCGCGCAAGCCCATTGCAGCCTTTCCAACATGGCTTTTGTTGGGCCAGCGACCGGGCACCCGACTAACTGGCGGATAACTGCAGATCTGGGACTGCGCGGCTTTCAGCAAACTGACGCTTGTAAACTCCGCCTGCGAGGTCACAGAAATGAAGCAGTAGTCCACCCAGCTTTTGAGACCTGTCCTGGTACCAGACGAAGAGGTAAAACCCAGCACAGACGACCTCGGGCGTTTCGTCCCTGCACACCCAAAACACGCTTCCAGGCCTACCAAGATTGAATCTGCTTAGCTAGGTTGCGGCAGCAGCCCCAAGTACAGCCCACTTCATCATTGCAAAGTAGAGCACGAACCCTCAGGGCAGATGCGGATGGCGCACAGCAGCACACATACTTCGCCCTGAGAGCAACATTCGCTGCAGTTGCTCATCCTGCCCCGCCTAGGGCGCAGCCCATGTGCATACCAAAGAGAAGGACCTGAGCTTCAGCATATCCGCATGTCGTCCTTACTTGCATGTTGATGGAATTGCCGTCGGCATGAAGCAGATTGGAGATGAGGCACCATCAGGAAATGATGGTGTGAATAAAGGGAGGAGCGGATGCTCCATGCAGCCGCCATGTTCAAAGGTGGCAACGCACCTTGGGGGTGAAACTTGTTCTTGCAAGCGATGTTGGAAATGCAACTATTCAGACTGTCTACACATGTCTGGCAAATCAAAGGCTCCGACAGACATATCCTTAACCGCCCTTTGTGCCAACATGCAACCATTTGGGCCCAACCATCAAGAGATGTTCCCTCTCAGCTTAGCGAGCCCCCTTCTCTTCATAAGTTAAGTGGGCAAGGTTCAGGCAGCCGCCAACGCTGCAGTGTGAAAACCTTCAGCCGCAAGGGCACATCAACACTACTTGAGACTGGGACTGAAAGACACACATCAAACCCCTTAGGACCGCAACCAACAGGCCGATCGTGCGCGGGCACTAACAGCCCAAGGCCCAGCCTGGAGCACAGTTGCATGCAATTGCTGTTCTGAACTTCAAGTACGTGACTGCAAGTGAACGTACCCTGCCTGTCAAACCGGACAGCCATTGCAGCAGGAATGCCACAGGCCGCCATCGGAGCAGCAATCCTGCAGCACCATCTGCAGTAATTTCTCTTGGCTCATCCTCGTGGAGTCCTGAAAAGCAGCGTCCCGGCTCGCGAATAAGCAGCCAAACAGCCCAGATCTCGCCTTGAGCTGGACAGGGCACTGGCGCAAGAAGTTGCATTGCCACATCTCCATGCACAGCCCGAAAAAATCTATATTGTTAAGCCTGCAAATCGCTGCTCCAATCTGAAACCCAGTCTTACCAATTAAATGTCGCCTCAGCTTGGACAATGGGCATATCACAGAGCTTACAATGTTACCTTTAACCGTATGCTGCCTACTGATGTCTCAGCAGCTACCAGCTGAAGACTGTGGTAATCCTGATAAGACAACCGCAACCCAACTAAGCCGGCTGCTGAAAGGGGCTGTGCAATGAACGCAGTGGGAAGGCAGCAGCTATCCCGTAAAGCAGCCAAAGGTATGCAAGGGATGATGCCAGGATTAGTCTTGCCGACAGCTGGTCCAACAATTCCTCCCAGGTTGGACCAGTTACGTCCACCTTCCTCTTCTTCCCGGGTGTCCCGGTTGGCTCCGCGTAAACCACCAAGGCTGCAAGGACGGCAGCGCGAAGACCAATCAACAAGAGTACGGAGGTAATTGCGAAAAGTGTACGGATCACGCTTGCAGGCCAGAACCAATTGTCGCTGCAACGTACAGAGCTTTGAGGGAAGCGCTGCTGTAGCCGCCTTTCACACTCTTTAAGGGCATCTTCAGTTGGAATACTATCGCCCAGTGCCCAAAGCAGCCGATGGCACACATGTTCAGGTGCTAGGGTCAACAACACACGGCTCTTGGGACCAGAGAGCTCATCCTTGACCACAAGCTCTTCGTTCAGCCTCCTTTCCAATCCCTTTCTGGTCAATTGTAGCTCAGGCCAATGCTGCAGGATCAAAGCCTTGTGCTGCAACATAAGGTCGAGCAGAACCTCTTTCCAAGCCTGTGCAACCTCCCAAGCGGAAGGTCTTGCCAGCTTTGTGTCTTCACCCCTTGTTTCACTTCCTGTGCGTCTAAAGCGGCTGCAGCGCCTTCGCCGCGGCAGCACCTCAAAAGCACTTCTTACCACGTGCAACAAAGAGGTCAAGCAAATGCCGAAACAGTGCGTCCAGTGGGTATGTTAGTATGTCTTCTGTGAAAGCCCAGGCACCTCAACGAAGTACTGCACAAACAAATGCTCGAAATCCAGTATAGAACCTCTTGCCTGCGCGCCCTCCTGCCGCAGACTTTCCTCGACGATTTGCGGGCTTGAGGGCAAGGCCCCCAAACTGCCCTTCTTTTTGCTGGATGCCAACCGATTGAGATGTAAGAGGGACTGGCTGCTGCGCCTGAAGATGAGTGGCAACCCGAGGTCTTGCATGGTCGATGATTTTGGAGAGCTTGGTTGACTTCCTCCACTGCACACAGTTGTCACAGCTATCAGATGCTTTCGAAACGTTTCTGCATAAATGTATACCTACATGCACCAAACCCGAAACAAGTCGAGCCGGATGTGTCTGCTTGAAACTTATCCTTGTTCCTTGCTGCGTTTTCCCGTCCAGCTCAGTCTTTCTGGGTGTTCGTAACTGTGCTCTGGTTGGGAGATTTAGGGAGTTTGAAGGGTTTTGGTTGAAATTGAGGCTTCTGTGCGTTCAGGTAAAGGGTGAGCGGGTTCAGATGGGTTTCAATTTCAAAGGGTTTTTTTCCATTGTTACTTTCGGCGTACAGTACAGTAATTCTGGCCAAGATTTTGGGATTTCCGGGCCCTCGGTTCTCTTTCCACCTGCCCAAAGGCGCTTGCAAAGAAGGTGCGCAAGCTCCCTGCACGCCTGCACCTCGACCATGAAAGTGTAGGTTCTGGCGTAGCTTCCCCTCAGCTTCCCTCTCGCACAGCCCCTGAAACTTGGGAGCCTCAAGGGAGGGAGGGATTTCAGGTCTCGGGCAGGGCCTCCAAACCATCGAAGTTGCAGCTTGAAGTGAAGCCATTTTTCAAAAAAAGGCCCTCATGTGCAAACCAAGAAAATGATGTGTAGAATGTGGCAGCCATTTATGTTTAATTCGTTACGTGGTGTGCAGGTTCACGTTGGGAGCGGGGCCACGAATTTCAAACAAGCTTGAAAGTTGGACGAGGTGCAAGCCCCCGATTTGCAAACCAGAAGTTATAAGGTTATCAGGGTCGCGTTGGAAGTGAAGCCTGTGTTTTTTGAGCTGGCGAGGGGAGAAACATTGAAGGAGGTCATTTCAGTTTATGATCATCCGTTAGAAGTTATGCGGGGTCATGTTGGGCAGCCCCATCCTGATGACTGTCAATCATGGAACATGAGAAGAATCCGAGCAGCCAAAAAGCAACAACACTTTCGAGCTTGAGCAATCACGTCTCCACACTTCTGCAACAGGAGACAGTTCAAGGGCTTCTCCGAACCACGGCCCGCCCGACTAAACACTATTAAAACTTTCAAGCTGAAAACCTGAAAGCACCTAAAGCCAGAAAGCCATAACCCCTTGAATTTCTAGATCCTGGCGCGGAAAACCCCAAAACCCCATGGCTCATTTAACTCTGAAATCCCATAACCTGAACCCCACAATGCCGCTGACGTTGAACTCTGCTCTCCACGAGATGCATACTTGTTGCAGCGATTCTATAGCATGTATTTCTACTGCGACATTTGGGCTTCACTGTTAGCAAACACCAAACCCTGGAAGCGCCAGTTGCCAGAGCCCTCCAGCTCTGTCAGTTTCATTTTGGAGTCTCCTCCCAAAATCCTGTCGAATCTGTGCCGTGAATCTCGGGGTTGATGGGTGCACGTAAGCCAACCCAATTCTTTCGCAAGCGTTCCGCAAGCGGTCTCCTTTTTGCAACCCTTTTCGATGCCACACATCGGTGGTCCGCGTTTGTCAGAAGGCCAGCACTTGCACAGATTGGACAGGATTGGGGCCTTGTTGGTCCCAGGAGTTCGCATTTTTGGGTCCAGGATTTCAGATGTGTCAGGTTTATGGATGACGGCCGGGGATATTCCTGTTTGGAAGGTTTCCCCATTAACTGCGGCAGCAATGCAGGTTGCTTGGAGGCCTTGGGGCTCAGGCCCAGGGTCTCCTGAAGCTTTACAGACCTCACCCAAGCCGTTCTTGCATCTACAACCCAATCAACCCAGAAGTGCCCCAAAAACTCACCAACTAAAAAGTTATTGTGGCAGTCTCCTTCGAGAGAGTCCAGCTTCAGCCCACTTTGCGATAGCTTTTCGCCCAAACCTCTCTTGGCAATGGCCGCCAGCGCCGGGGCACTTGCCTCCAGATCGAGGCTGCGACGGCGCACTAACCTTGCGCAGGGAAGATGAAAACACGGGCTTTCATTGTTCAAAGGCGCGATTCAAGTCAAGCCAAACCAATCTGCCTCCTAGGATTCGTGCGCAGGTCGTTGAGGTTAGATCCGGTTGTAGCAATCCGCCTGGGGACAGCCGTTGTGCTCGCTTGAATGTGCAGGCCCTCACGTTTCCATTGGTCCCGCCTCCTCAACCTCTTTGAGGCTTCTGGAGCTGGCTCCGGGTCATCATGCTCCGGGACTGGAGACAAGCCAAGATCGCAGATCCCGAACTTGGAGCCCACCCTGTCGACATGGATGGACTGCTAGCAAACCCTGAACAGCTCCAGATTTACCACAGCTGTCTTGTTGGAGCAGCTGTCAGACCCGGGGGTTCAGGATCAAAAACAAGGAAAAAAAAAACATCCAGATATCAGGAAAAAATATGGATCAACCATGAATGGTGGACTTTTTTACAGAAAACTGAGGGTTTGGATGATACAAATCAGAAAAGGGAGCAAAAAGATCAGACTATGAAAAAGGAGGGGAACTACAAAAAATGGTGATGGATGTTGAAGACTGTTGAAAGTGACGAACAATGGTGAACGACTGTGAAACATCAGGAAAATGAGGAAAACTGATTCAAGATGATGAAACACGAAGAAAGGCTAACAAATGATAAAAGATTACGAAATATCACGCACATGATGAACAATGCTGAAATATGATGGAATAGGTTGAAAAGTGAGTCAATTGACGAAACTGATGACACATGAAAAGCCATGAACATGTTGGAAAGTGACTAAAATCATGAAATCCTGAAAGTGCTGACAATGAGAAGATATGAAGCAGATGACGCAAGGATGAACTATCATAAGGATGATGAAACATCAAGAACAGATGAGGAAATATCGTGAAGCATTATCAGAAATGCGAAACTGATGGGAAATCATAACACATCATGAAAACTGGCTAAAGCAAAACATCATGAAAATTGGCGAAATGAAAAGAATGAATAACTATAATGAATTAGAGCGGATGGAAAATTAGGCAACATGATGAACAGCAACTTCACGAGGGTTGCTGCTGAACGTTTACAACTGCAAATTGGTTTTTCAGCTGCAACGTACTCATTTTCATCTTGATTTCTTGTTGTAGAGCCATCCATGAGTCCAAATTGATGTAATTTATTGTTCAGCAAAGAATATACTGGTCCGGAATGAATGAGTGTCCACCACATGGACACTCGACCTGATTGCAACAAATATTCGGGGCTCCGGGAATAAATACGAACAGATACTGATAACAACGCTAACCAATAAACAAAGAAAAATTGTAGTGATTGTACCGATAAAGGGACCGAGTAACCTTACACGTCACTTTTCGTGAGATGCTTGCGTGCACTTGCGCTGCAAAAAGAACAGGGGGGAGTGGTTGGCGGACGCGGCCCCACTCATTTGCAAAACATGGACGAAGATCGGAACATGCACCTTCTTCCGACGTTTTTCACCTGGCAATGGTACCCATGCTCCCCATGTCCCGTCTCTGGTCGCCTGCCCCCACATCTCTGTGCTGATTGTGAGCGGCTCACGCGGCCGTCCCTCTAAAGAAACAGCTGGTCTGCTCCGTGCCACTGGCTGTGTATTTGCCACACTTCTGCACAGATTTATTACGCACCATGTTACAGCCTGGCCTAGTTAGTTTAGCAGGCCCCTACCTTCAATGAGGGTTCGTGGTGTCTGTGAGACTCCCCATGCACCTCTCCAAAGACACCTCCACCTAGATAACACCACATGACCCATTCCTGGCCACCCCGCAGCAACTGTCTCTCCTTGTGTACATGGCGGTTGATGGGGACTAGGAGGCTTTTGCTCCGTCTGTGCAGCAGGGCGTCGATGATTCATCCATCAAAGCGAACTTCCCTGCCAAGACAACCCCTTGCTAAAGCTCACACAATCCGTATGACAGTCATTCCCTGATGCCTTTGTTGCACAACATTCAAAAAGTATCTGCAGTTTACTTAGCAGTTTGTGCTCCCGGCTTCAGATTGAAGACCGCATAACTCCCGTTATTCGCGCTCCTCTGCTGCATTTAGTCAGAGGACTTGACGGGGGTTTCCTTTAACGGGATTCTTCACTGTTTCTTGCCTGCCCTGTGGCTTTGGTTTCGTTGGGGATTGCGCAGAACCTTTCCCTGCTGCTGTCAGAATTGAAACAAACACTGCCAGCCCTAGCAAACTCAGACAGGGACAAGCATACAACGCCAGCTAAATCCCTTCTGATTACGCGGAAACTTTCCACAGTTGAGATAGTGCATGCTCATGAGGCTGTTGGCGCTTACTCGGCCTCCTCCCCTTCACAATAGAGAGTCTCCCCTGATGTCGGCAGAATCCTGTTCTGCTGGCAGTGGTCTACCTCCCGCAGGTTATCGTTCTTTCTTTCTTTCCTCGCTTCCTTCGTTCTTGCGTAGCAATTTCAGGTCTAACAGCAACTGCCCGTAACTACCGTGCTGCAATTCGCAGTACCTTAAGTTTGGCCAATTTACAGACTTTGTGCTAGCCTTGCGATTTCTATCAACAATAGCTGACTTTTTTTTCCCCCATCTCCAGCGTGATGGAGCTGCAAGCGCTGCGTTTACTACCAGCAAAGCTAATTCTGTTTATGTTGATCCTACATCTCAAGCGTGCAGGAGCTGCGAGAGCTGCACGTAATACCATAAAGCCAAAGCCGTTGCTTCTCCTTCCTAAGCGGCTGTGCATGCTGAGATGTGCTTCCACTTCTCTTCGCGGTTTCTGGCTGCTGCTCTCATCGTTCAGAGCAACGCAGCTGCCGAACGGCAGTTGCGCGTGCTGCTTGATGTTGATCGAAAACCCTAATTGTATATCGTGGGTTTGTCTGCCGTTCAATGGCATGGCCTGCTTAACTGCTAGCACCTTTGGAGGCTGCCACTTGTCACTGCGTTCATTCGTTGCACGTCTGGCTCTGCTGCCTCCTGATTTTTCGGTAGCTACCTTGCAGTGGACTCCGACTGTCATTACTACAAGCTGAAGAAAACCTGGCCTGTGTATGGCACTGCCAACTGCCTTGACCACCTGTGCAGATGCCCTGGTTTCCAGCACCGGCGGCAGTTCGCAAACGAGTTGCAAATCGGAGGCGCTGCCACTGTCATCATCTGAAGACAGCTCATCCTCGATCCGCCAAAGCGGATCGATCTTCAAGGACTTAGACAAGCCAGCAGGCATTGGGTGCCAAGGGCACCGTTACCAGCCATTGCTTGTGTCAACTCTACCTTTTCTTGGTTGCTGACTTGTGTCTGCTCATTGCACTCCAGTCTGCAAATCCATTATGATGTGACGAGAGACACTGCACAGCGACTTGAAGCAACTTGAGCCAACTGTCTGAATGAAACCCCTGGCAGTTCTCCTTCATTTCGAATATGCAAAAAAAGTTGACCCCAGCGCCAGCAACTGTAAGGGTTCACCATCTGAGCTTGAAACTGAAGGCCCACCACGGGAGGAATGATAGCTTCCACCTGGGCATGTTTGCCGGAGCCAGCCCAGCAGATAGCAGATGATCTTGAATCTGGAAGCGGAAGCCTTCATACACCCGCTCCGCCATGATCCCAGCAAAGCTATGCAAAGACTTTGGCTTCTGAATTCAGGCAAAGCACAGCGAATTCTGTGTGTACGGATTGCGCAGAGGCAGATGTCTACACATGCCGCGGGCAGAAAGCGCAAACCACTCTGAACCGCACGCAACACCACAAGGAACCTGAGAATAAGCTGCTAATCGTCGCAGCACTGCGAAGCATGGGCTTCGTGAAAGTCTTCCTACCGTTCAATGCAGATAGGGGAGCACGGAGAGTTAAGAGGCCGTCAGTCGTTCAGTGACTTTCACAACCCCTTGACAATCCACGGAGTCCACACTCTAGCTGATAAGCAGGCAGGCCATAGCAAAGATTGGCAGCTGGGTGTTTGGCAGCTTCTTTTCGAGCCCCGAGGCTCTTCTCAAGGCCAGGCGAGGAATTGACCTTGCAGACTTACATGACTCATGTGACGTTTGCAGTTTAAGCGAGGCTTGAGTTGGCGTACCCTACTCGCATGCTGTCCACCCTAGTGTGGTGAAACAACTGGTGTATTCACTCAGCGTTTGCCCGGTCAAAGAAGCTTGACCGGCAGATGGGCCTCTATTAGCCACACATTCAAGTCCGTGTCCAGCATCATATCGATACCTCAGCATGCCCAAGGCAAGCTACCATGAGCACACTGCAACAACATAGGAAACCGCTTGGACAACGCATCTCGGAGTTGGCGTGTGCCTTACACCACTACTTGAGGAGGCTTTCAGAGAAACAGGACATGGGTCACAACTCTGCTTCATCAATATTCCTGCAGCCCTGCGTATTACAAGGCTATGCAGAAGTGGATTTCTGAAGCAAACTGCCCCGATGCGCAACAATGCATCCAAGATCATCCAAGACACCGAACAGTTCGTAATTGGTGGTTTGCAGCTGGCCCACTGTGGTAGCAAAGCACATCACCTCCGCGCGGAATGGTTCATTTCAGGCGGTCCCCTGGAGACAGCATGCATGCTTCATCATGCCTCCATCAGCAAGGCCAACTTGGCCTTCATCGCAGGCAAAAGTGTTGCCTGCATGTCAGCATGAGCTGGGAACGCCACTGAAGGTCAAGGGCAAGAGCAACTGTACTCACGAAACAAGACCCAAAGAACCCACAATAATACAATACAACAGTATACAACCGTGTATTCATCCCCTGAATCTTGTGTGCAAAAGCACTTAGAAGGGTGACAACTTCAGCTTGAGGCGGTTCAGGGCTGCCTCCTGCCCTGGGGTTGGAGGTTGCATGGAAATTCAGATCAACTATCTTCTGGGAACAGAATTGCACTGCCATGGCTTCTTTGTTTAGCCGCAGCTTGTGCATCGGCATGTTAACAACAGGCTTGGAAGCTAAAGCTTGCCAAGCAACAATACATCTGCAGAATTTAGAAGTCAGCTTGCCTGAGTCTTTGTTTCCTGACATACACGAGTGATGGACAAGGGAAAACAGGTGGAAACAAAACCCCCTGCGTAGAAGCTGGATCACACAGAGTTTGAAATGACTTTGCTCAGCAAAAAGCCTGGAGCGATGTTTGCGTGCTCCACTCAATCATGCTCCTGAGCCTTGTCCATCTGAGAAACCACTGAATTTGGGTGGGAGGTATGCAGGAAGCTCTCTACAATGGAGCATTCTCAGGATGACCCACCAGTAGGACTTGCCTGGCTTGGACAGCCGAGGCATGTACATGAAGTTCTTAAAGGTGACTGCATCGCTTGCCCGTCTAGGCTAGATTCACCGCCCGCTTTGCTCATACTGAGCCTGGAACGTAAATTGAGAGAGGTGGGACTTGATCTGGTGCAAAGTGAGTTTGCGGCATCTTTGTGCCGCTTTTAGAGCCAACCACATGTCTCCTGAACATGCGGCTTGGCTGAAATCTCGGCTGCTAAAACTTGTGAAGACCCGTGGGAGATACATTAGCCACCAGTGCAGAGCTCGAAGGACCCCTTGCCCAACAAGACCTGCCAGTGCAGCTTGCAGCACAAATTGCACCACCACCAGCACCACCACCACCACCCCCAACACAGCCACACCATGCGCTGCATGTGCTAAGCAGCAGCACTTGCACCACCCGTATTTCAATATGTCCGGATGTCGCCCACAGGCTGGGAACATGGGTGCTGAGTGCATATGTCAAACAGCGTAACCAAAGATCCTTGCAACATCGAGTCAAGAAAGCAGGCTCCAGACGTCACATGGTTCGACGTCGACAGCCGGGAACTGCCCTCCCAATCCCAAGGCTTCAGAACCCTGATGCGCAGAAGCCCTATGCCAGAAGGAGTTGGCTCAGGCAGCAAGGCTGATTCCAAATTGCCAGTCAAGGTCACCAAATTTGAGTTCAACTCAAGCTCAACAGCTCAACAAGGACGGCTTGTGTCCTAGCGGCCGCTGAATCCGCATCCAACGCTTGTGGAACTACTCACACAAGCGGGCCTACAGACTTATGTTAACTGAAAAAGCCTCATTCAGGTGCAGATTTGCTTGCCTGTGAGCTTGCACGCAATCATCTTGAACGTCAAGACTATTCAAGACTGATGGCCATGGCGCATTCCACAACTGCATGTCTCTTAACAAGGCCGCCTCATGCCTACACGCGCGTGACCCCAAAAAGGCTTGGGAGGGTTTTTGGCCCTGAGGGTGTAAGTGGAGACTACTTGCAGAAGCTGCACAAACACAGGGCTTTTGCCACAGATGCCTTGCTGCTGCAGTACCCAAATCTTGCAGCCGCAGGCAAAAAGGGAACTTACAGCAGCGCAACCTGGTGTTTGTAACCGTAGATTCAGAAGATTGCATGAGGCGATTGCCTGCGGCAGAATCCTGCATGACAAGTACACGAAGAAGCAGGGTTGAGAAGCTCGCCTTCACGAAGTCATCTGGCAGGCCCTGTTGTGAAAGCTGCTGCTGAAGCTGGTCTGGACCCAAAACCAGCTCCGAGTAGTTCCTGAGTAACAGGCTCCAAGAAAAACAAAAATCTCACACCGCGGACTTTGCCTGTTTCGACCTGTTATCGCATGAGCTGCATAGGCATCTCAAGCAACAGCCTGTGTGAATGATCAGGCATCTGGAGGCCTATTCGCTTCACGGCTGCGTACTGTTCCCGCCAAGAGTCGCTCCCTCGCGCAATTTGCCCCGAACCTGAACTCACAGGGGTCAACGTGGCCAACTCCAGGGCACAAGGTAGGAACGGCGATGTCTGCCAGCAACTGCCGGCCTTCGTGTTCGTGACAACATTCAGGGGGTCAGTAGAGGACACATTGAAGGCCTGATGGCCGCATCTGATATAGAAGACCTTCGCAGCAACGCGCGAGCATCGTTTCAAGCTTCCTGATAGCATGTGGTGCGGCTGCGACTGAGTCGCTGGTGAGTAAAGTGCTACTAGCGGCACGGAGGTTGGAATGTACAAATAGACCCGGAAATCACACTTGCGGCCATTAACCTTAGTTTTCAGAGACCCCTTGCGATCTGAAGGAACCTTGAAGCACGATGTGCCGAATGTATTTACAAAGCTTGGGCTCTCGCCAGCAAAGGATTTGGCAAGTATCTTTGCACCAGGCCCTATCAAAGTGCTGCCATGCATGCTTCCGCGCTTGGAAAACAAACTCACGACCTGGAGTCGTAGCCTATCGCAGTCTGCCGCCATGCGCTCAGCTTCCTGGAAGGCAAACAGCTCAGATAGCGCCTGTCAAACCCCACACTGAGTCGCACCTGTGAAGTGAGCAGCCGCACCCCAACAGAGTTGTGGGCACGATCCTTTCAAAAAAGGAATGGCTCCTGTAACTCAAACCTGCCACCTTTGACCTGAGCAGCACTTTGGTATGCGCAGGGTCCTGCTTGTGAATCCACATTGCGGTCTGCACCTTTCAGCGCTGTAAGGCTGTAATTACGGACCATCTTAGGTGCCAGAGTGCAAGCTGGCACAAACAACACGCGCATGACATAGCGCAAATTATATCTGCTCACATGAGTAGCGTTGCTTTTGGTGGTGGTGGTGGTGGTGGTGGTGGTGGTGGTGGTGGTGGTGGTGGTGGTGGCGGCGGCGGCGGCTGCTGTGGCAGTTGTGGTAGTAGTGGTGGTGGTGCTACTAGCAGTAGTAGTAGTAGTAGTAGTAGTAGTAGAAATAGAAGTAGAACCAAGTAACATAATATGCTTCTTACAGATCGTGTCCTACCAGTGGGCAAAATGGTGTGTCCATATTCGGGACTATAACATCCAAAAGAAGCTACCTGCAAGGTTTGAAGGCTTGCCTTGGCCTTGAAGTCGTGACAGTCTTCGAGCAGTGTCAAAGCGAAGCTAGATGGAAGGAGTTGCTCGATTTCTGCCGCGCGCTGCGGCATCGCTCGGGCAAATCTCCTCCACACTGGAGAGACCGTGACCGTTACTTCGCGTGCAAACCACAAACTATATTTCGCTTGCTGCAGCCCAGAAGCTTCATCACACTGGCCAGCGAAGACTTTACCTCAGCAAGCTGTCTTGCAGGAAGTCTTTGGCAAGCAGCCTTCAAAGTGCAGCAAAGAAGCGGTGAAGTACTCGCTGAAATCGAAGTGATTGAAAACCTGCAGTTGCTGGATACGATTTGCAACATTGCAGATACCAAGGCCCAACCCTGAATGTGTAACAGCAATACGATGGGTCAAGCCAAGTGCCACAAAAGACAGGTTGTATAAGTGCCGGACCTGGTGGCGAGGGTAATTGCTGCAAAGTGCAGAAACATGCACCCGCTTCCTGCCACTGTACCAGAAACCAACTTCAAGTACAGAATCTGTCGAAACTGCAGCGGCTGATCTTTGCAATCGGAGTACTGCTGCTTGGAGACTATGAAGGTGGCATCCAAGGAGTCCCGTCTTAGAACCTCTGGCGCGCATTACCAGGTGTGCCCCACATCAGAATGCTCGCGGCAGTCACCCCTTGTCACAGCTGTTCAGGGCTACAAAATCTCAGCTGTCAACTCCTTGGTGATGCCATTCATCTTTGTACCCCTGGCTGGCTTAAAAGGCTTCATATATCATGAAACATCACTTTCGAGATTCAAGTGTGAGTCCTGTTGGCCTTCTCTACAACGAAGAGGCTTCTGTCTTCCTTTGGCATCTCGTCCGTCTCAGGGGCATGGTGCCATGGTGCTACTGAACAGGATTCATGTCTCTTTAACCAGGGCGCATCCCTCCCATCTACACCACATGGTGGCCTGCTTTTTCCAGTACAGATTCCTGAAGGCAATGGATCCTTCTCCCCAATGAGTGGACAAGGTCACTCTGCTGTGCGATGCCAAGGCTCTTCTTGCCCATAATCGGGAATGACACTGTCACCTTGCTTGGGGTGATAATCACAGGCTTGTCTGAGTCTTGCATTGATGGCACTCTCAGGCCTGTAGCTTGGCAAGGCACGTCTTTCAAGCGCAATTGCTCCGCGGCGGGTAAACGATGCTCACAGCGCGACAATGTCTCCATCTTCACAGAGACATCCAAGGCTGGCCTCTGAGCAGTGCGATTCCACTTCATGCGCTGCAGCCCTGTGAGCTTCTTGGCAGCCGTACGTGCCGCAGAAGCCATACGGGCAAGGGGAGGGTAGCCAAAAAAACAGTGCGGCAACACGACGACAAAAAAACAGACATAATTGGCGTGAATTAAATCATCATTAAACACACGACGCGATACGCAGAACACGCAATGAAGACACTCTACTCTCCACGCTCCGTTCTCCACTCTCGTTATCCATTCCATCCACTCTACATCCTACTCCACACTCCACTGTCCATTCTCCACGCTCCACTCTGCGCTCCATCCACTCTCCTTTCTCCACACTTCGCTCTCCACACTGCGCTCTCCACACTCCACTCTCCACACTGCTCTCCATACTACACTTTCCATACTCCACCCTCCGCTCACTCCATTATCCACTCCACTCTCTCTTCAACCCCCCACACACTACTCTTCACGCTCCTTTCCCCTCTACCCTCCACACTTCACTCAACTCTCCCCGGTCCACTCTCCATCCTCCAGTCTCCACAGATTCCACAGATTCCACTCTCGACATTCCACTGGCAACCCCACCGGCCCATCCCCGTGACTGCTCACGCGTTTGACACGTTGCAAAAACTCGAGAAGCCAAAAGTGCAGGCGGCCTCGAACCCTCCAGCCGCTTCGCGAACGCAAAAGCAACAAATGAGTGGTCACCTCCAGGACCCCTGCCACAGACCCCGGCCTTTAAAACGGAAACTCTTCTGCAGAGCATTCAGGCACATGGTAAGGCTCTGGTGCCTGACAAGCACTTATTGTGGCGCATCCACGAATTCAAGCTCCAGCAATGCTTACACCAGCATGCAAACCATCGCTCCACTCTGATGTGCGTCTCTATGCTTCCAAAAACCGCCCGTCTGAGAAGATACATGCACAGGTTTAGTTGCCGAAAGGTGCAGCAATGGTTTAAGCAGAGCTCACAATACTCAAGTTGTCCGAGCCCTCTGTGCGCGTGGCTCAGGTTCAGACATCACTTCCACAGGCTCCAGGAAAACAGTCCTGCGCAGATTTTGATTGTCAAGCCTTCGGAGATCTGGGGAAGCAGGGACATGTGCGCTCACCCAACTGGTTCTCAGTCCAGAAGACGGCCAACCAAAGCATCATGGTGGCCATGGCGACGACGGCAATCCTGACTGCACTGAGCGCTTCTGAGCTTTACGCTTGAAGCATTGAAAACGCAATAGCATACATGCCTAAATATCTGCACAACTTCCCCACCCAGCAAGAATCTCCTCAGCAACCTCATGGTCAGGCTCCGGCATCTAGTCTGGACGTAGCTGTGGTTTTTACTAGTCAGGTGTGCTCATACGCATTACCTTGCTATAGACACTTTGCTTTGATCTTCATTTGTGAGCACAGAGCATGGCGTTTACAACCGTGTTTGGCCTCGAGACAGGCCGACAAGATCCGAGAAGCACATGCAACTTTGCAAGGCTTTGCAGGGCTTGGCAAAGCTGCAAAGTTTGCCAGGCCAACCATCCTCAAGGACAAGCTCCAATGGCGTCGCCTACGCAAAATGTCAAGGCCGGAAGCATCTTCTGAAATGCTGCGCTGGGGCTGCGACCCCCAAGTCTAAAGCAAAGATGACATTAGCAATGGGCTCTTGCCCCAGTCGCACGAAAGTGTCCTGTTGTGCATGACAGCATCTGAAGATTGAAGAATGTAGGGCCCTTGTGCAACCCGGCAAAGCTCCTCCAAGTCTCTCAACCAGGCTTTACTGGAAGTCCCAAGGCTTTTGAGGAAGGCATCCCACAAAACCTGAAACAACTCACTCTGACCAGCTGCCGCGCTGCTGTGTGTTGACTCCCCTTGAGATGCTCCAAGCTGTTGAGAAGTTCAGCATCGCACAAACACATGTCCCAGGCGAGACAAAATTCCAAGCTGCTGCTGACTGATGCCTAAGCAAGACACCGGGCAGGAAGCGCAAACAAGGGTACACGCTGCGGGTGGAAGTCCATAATGTGCATGGCATGATATCTCGAACATCTTCGAGCAAGATAGATAGATTTTGCATGATGCCTATAACTGCAACATTCTTCTTCGCCCAGTCTGAGGTGCGCAGGCCGCGGCATCCAGAAGCTCTAACAGCAATACCTGTGCTGCATGAGAAGCTTTCACATGGGCTCGCGAACCACAAAAGCATGCTATTTGCCCCACATGTTTTCGCAGTCCAACATTCCACAAATTGAAAGTACTGGGCCACTTTGCTGCTTGTTACATTGCCATGCAGCCTGTTTGATTAGTGAAGAAGCCAAGTGCTTGCAGAATGCGCAGGAGGAATCTTCTTATCATCGATGAGAACCGGCTTTCATTACTTTCAAGAGCGTCTGAGGAGCTAGAACACTAGAAGGGGCCCACGTGAAATGACAGAAAACCAATAAAAAGAGGGCATCCGTGCTATAAAAACCACTAGAAGTGATCATTGTCCCGCTTTCTTTGTGAAGCGGCTGATAATAGCCGCTGGCTATCCGTACGTAAGCGAGACAGACCCACTGGATCTCAACCGATCTTGGGCAGTAGCTCCCCGGACAAGAAAAAACGAACTGTCTCGAGATTCTAGTCTGAGTTCCAGCCGAAGTTGCTCAGCTGTGCATCAGGGTTGGAGGGCAATCCTGCACACGACTGCAAGAAAGCAGTAGCCAAAGCGCTCTGAATGTCGCTCCTCCTTGTTTGGATCCATCCGCTTGGATCCACAATTCATCGCAAACACGCACCACGAATCCTCCCATTGCTTGCAGAGCTGCAAAGTCTTGTTATATGTTGGCTCCGCTCATGCGCGACGGACGACCAGATATTCGATACATCGTTGTAAGAAACTTTACTGCATGGTCGTTAAGCTCGGGTCAGCATGCTTCACAATCCGTGCCCGTTTCGTCGAACACCTACCTATTCCTTTTCAAAGCTATCATCTCTGCAAGATTGCAACAGGCAAGCAGAGCTTCCCCAACGAACATCATAACCTTCCGTGACTTAAACATCCTTCAACAAGACAACGCCACCCTGAGGGTATTAGTTTGCTTGCCTGCTTTGGTGGTCGTAAACCTCTCTGAGTTCTGGGCTTGTTTGGTCCGCTGGGGTTATTCGGGTTCGATTGGTTCCGGAGCTGGTAAGAATCATAAAGAGTCTCATTCGCTGCGGCCTCAAGTCATTAGAACTAGGTCTGTGCGTGAAGGAGTTCGGTGCGTGAAGGAATGCTCACATTGGCTTGACTGGCCCGATCTCAGGAATCCAAAAGATGGTATGGAAATCTTTCATGCTTCGATCAGAGCCAGTATTACCCAGCGCCGCCAACACGTCAACACAGGATAGCACAGGTCACCGCGACGATCAACCACGACTCCCTCCTCCCCGACGCCGATGCCGACACCGACACCGACACCGACACCACCACCGACACCACCACC